CGTAATTTAATGAGAAAATTAAATAAAAAATCAAAACCAATCAGAAATACGTTTGCTCCATGTTAACATGGAGGAGGCAGGGTCTATGACCTACACTGCAGCCAGCCACCAGGGGGCGATCAAAATGTTTTGGCTTCAGTTTCTCACACATCTGGAGAACATCATCAGCTTCACACTGGACATGTGTGAAGTTCAGTGTTGTACTTCATCATGTCCGTGTGGACGTGTGGACGAGCGGTTGACGTTTGTCTTCTCTGCCCTCAGTCGTCTGTTACGTGGAGCTGACCTCTGGATTCAACACCAGTTCGGTGAAGGAGAAGAAGGTAGAGAACTCAATCTGGAAGTTATACGGTATTTTCCAGCTCAGCGATCACCTGATCTGCAGCGACGGTCAAACTCCGTCTCTCAACAAATGTGGTAAAAACTGCACGGGTGAGTTTGGAGTTTAACTTTCAGCCTGAACACAGGACCAGTTCTACGGACGTCAGCTGAGACACACTTCAACCAGCTGTTCACTTGTTGTCTCCGCAGACTTGCTCGACAGCGACATAAGCGATGACATCGACTGCTTGTTGGAGACCTTGAACGACCTCATGTAAGTTCACTTTCTAACCACACGATGTCAGACACAGCCTCAAACTGCTTCTCCATTTCTTTGTCCTCCAGGATAACTGCACCTGATTTAAGGTTTTATTACCTTCACGTTGTCTCTCAGTCTATTTTTAAACTCAACTTACAGACATGGACGGATAATAATCATTTAGATTCTCCCACAAAAAATCCCTCAAATGGCAAACACTGATTCTGTCTCACTGGATTTATCAAAAAGGCAAATATTGTTCATTTCAAAAAGTTGAATGATGTGAAGTGAAATTCTCTTCGGCTCAAATGAAAAGTGTGTGTTATAATATTTCCACAGTAAACTGGGATTCACGGCTCAGAACTGGGAGGAGTTGGGAATGATGTAAGTTACTGTGCATCGTCACCTGTTTGCACTTAACCCTGAGATCAGAGCAGGGACAGAGTTGATCTCTTGTGTTTCTTTGCAGGGCCAAAATGATCTTCCTCCACCCGGAGTGCATAGAAAAGAAACCCAGCGAGTACTTCTCTGATTGTCGCTAAGCAAACAACGAGCGGCCGATGATTTCTCTCCAATATTTAGCAAAACATGTTTCACTAATTGCAGCATTTTTTTTGTCTAAGATAATATTAGAATGTGAGGTATCGGCCTTCAAGTAGAATTAACATTTCAAATAGAAAACAGTGAGTCCTGCTGTTTGTCTGTGAACGTGAAGACAGAAGAGTTTTAACAATTGAATAAATCTTTACGGAGTGAGGACGAGTGTGCAGGTGTGTGTGTGTGTGTGTTCTTCCTCATAAAACAAAATAAAATTGTCTCAGCAGCATATTGAAACAGCTGTATGGTTGCATCAGTAAACATTAAAATATTATAACTAACATTATCATCCTGTAGTTTGTCTCCAGTGACCAGATTCAATCAGAAATCATATTTTGGATTAATTCCTGAAAAACCAGAGTAAGTATCTTTATTTACAGGCTGTGGTCCCACCAGGATGAACTATGATAACTTCAGTGTGGCTCTGTCATGTAGAGTTTTCTTACTTTAAACACATATCTGTAATATTCCCATGAATCAACCTCAACCACAGACGTCTTAAATCCGCAGATAAGAGCGAGCTGTAGTTCCACTAATGTCTCAAACTGACTTTGTTATCCACGGCTGGTACAACGACACACACGACTTCTTTAAAAACGTTTATTAGTTTCTGGACACTAGAGGGCAGAGGACTGACGACACACTGCAAAGAGCCAAAAGCATCATGACATCACACTGTGCGTTGGGTTTGTGTCCACCTGCTGAACGTGAGACCTTCAGCTCTGGTTCGTGTCCTCAGCTGCTGGTCGCTCTGGACGTGTCGGTGGTTGCTGGGCAGGTCGTGGGCACAAGGTGTCATTGAGTTTGTTTGCTGAAAGAAAACGCTGCTGGAAACAAGGTTTGTGATGAGAGAGAACCAAACAGTAAAACTGTGAGCTAACAGAGGCTCAGGAGCTCTATCCAGTTGATAAATCATTTACAGACAACAAATGTATGTTACAAACACAAGCTTGAAGTTAAAATGTCTTTTACACTGCAGCGTTAAATCCATATCACACATATCGGCCGCTGGACTTGAGTTCTGGACACAGCTTGGCCTCCAGGTCTTCTATCTTTATCGACTCCACGTCTTTGGAGCTGGACAGGCTGGCGGCGCGGGTGATCTTGGTGAGGGTCTCTTCGTAGGGCGGAGGCAGGTAGACCATGACAAAGACCCCGTCCGACACATCGGAGCTGGTGCTGGTGTGGCGCTCTGCGTTCCTGGTCAGCGAGCAGAGGAACTCTGCACTGCTCTCGGTGTCCTGGAGGTCCAGGGCGATGATGTTGGCCAGGGTCAGCTTGCTGCGGGACCAGCGGCGGTAGACCAGGCCGACCAGGAGAGCCAGCAGGAGGACAGAGACGACCAGGAGGACCACGTAAACCACAAGCTCCCATTTCCTGTCCTCTCCCAGGTCCAACTCGTTCCAGTTGCGGCCCTGTTGATCCACAAGGAAGGAGGATATTTCACGCATAAAAAAATATAGACCGTGTGTGGCTATAGAGAATACCACCTGTGCCCTAAGATACGCAACCGACGTAGCAGCAGCAACATTATGTTAACGCACCCTCAACATCGATATTTACACAAAGCCACAAAGCATTGAAAGAGAAATGAGGTCACACAGAGAAGAAGAAGGTTCAGGTTTAAATACAAAGAGTTCTGTGTTCGGGTGGATGAACAGAGAATATCTAGAGAAGAGCTTTCCTCTTCTTCAAACGACACCAGGTCGCCTGGCGTGCGTGACAAACAAACCAACTTCATTTCATTTGACCAGTTTGCGTGTTATCACTTTTCACACTTTGTGATTTAACCCAGATCACAGCAGCTTAAGTGACACGTGAAGAATCCCGAGAGTGGCGAGCAAATTCAGACGCACCCGACCGACGCCGATGACGAGGACCAGACGGTTCAACGTCATCACAGAGCACAAGGAAGGTCAGAGTTCGATTCCCAGTTCTGCTGCAGGCGGGAAGCCACCGTGTGAGGGAATAATGTGATAGAGACCTAAAATATCTGGAACTCAACCAGCCAGTAGGTGGCGATGTAGTCTATCAGCGGTCTGCTACTTTATGTAATGAGGTCATATGAACTGTCAACATGTTTCAGAAGATTTTACACGATAATGAGGATAAACCAAGTTTCTGCACATAAACTTAAACGTGAATCAAGTGAGAAGTAAATTCATTTTCTCAAAGTCAACTGTCAATTCTGCCACATGAAGTAATCCAAACATAGTACACAGTACTACATGTACAGTCATAGGGCACCCCCCCGACTTCTAAATCCAAGATGGTCGCTCCGTGTATCAACAACAACAATGGACTCAAGTCCACGTCATTTGGTGGACGGGCGACCGCAAGAAGAACAATCAATAGTGGAGCAGATCCAGAAATGTCTTAGCGTTAGCGGAGGTTTGCACTCTAACATTATCTCTCACAATATGAGACTTTGGGTTGATTGAGGTTATGACAGAAATTAAAAGATTAAATCAGAAACCTTTTTGTTTTATGAACGGTCTTTTTGAGCTGGTGATAAAATGTTTGTTCTCCTTTTTACTTAATTTCTGATCTTTAACAGTTTCATGGTTTGTGTGTGTGTGTGAGAGTGAGAGTGAGTGTGTGTGTGTGAGAGTGAGAGTGAGAGTGAGTGTGTGTGAGTGTGTGTGTGTGTGTGAGAGTGAGAGTGAGTGTGTGTGTGTGAGAGTGAGAGTGAGAGTGAGTGTGTGTGAGAGTGTGTGTGTGTGTGAGAGTGAGAGTGAGTGTGTGTGAGAGTGTGTGTGTGTGTGAGAGTGAGAGTGAGTGTGTGTGAGAGTGTGTGTGTGTTTGTGTGTGAGTGTGTTACAGAACCCGTGTGACCTCAGCTGCAAATCTGCACATCTGCACATCAGGCATCACAAACCCTGAGTCTGAGCCTGCACCCCTTCCAGCTGTGAGGGAGCGACATGTGGCCGAGCCGCTTACATCCACTCCCAGTGTCCCAAATCCCCCCCCCCCCCCCCCCCCCCCCCCCCCCCAACCCCCACCCCTCCCTGCCGCCCGCCCCTGCCTCACTTTCTCAAGCAATTAGTTAATGCCGCCCGGACGACCCGGCACCCTGCGCCGCTGGACAGTATTAAATCTCAATCTGCCTGAGTGTCGGCTGACGGCTACAAAGTGTCTCTGTGCTGAGAGTCCGACACTTCAAGTTTGGCCTAAAAGAAGCAAAGACGGAGACAGCGTCACGTTGTAAACACCAAGATGGCCGTCGTCCATGACCCATTATTCACCCACTTGGTGGTCAACACTTTTTTTTACTTGTTCCCTTTAACTTCTCACTTTCACAAGAAATCAGATTTGAAATAATTGATTGGATGGGAGGTCACATTGAGTTTTATACTTATTTATATCATTGTTACTTATCTTATTATTACTTTACTGTACATATTTGTTTATTCTATTTCATGAAATATTGATGAAACTAATATTTTGTCGGCTTTGGAAATAAACTGTGACCTGACTCTGACCCTGAAGCCTTAAAAACGAAATCTGATGAGATGACGGAGAAGGTCCTGACTCTTCAGATGACATCGTTTTTCACCAGCATAACAAGTTTTTAATGTTTTTAAATGTTTTCAAATCGAGATATAAGATTAGACTTTTTATTTAAGTACCTGGACGTCTAGACTTCAGTCTTACAGCTCATATCAGCTTCATGCAGTTTAAAGAATCACTGAAATCAGCTCAGATAAACAGGGACAAGATTTCTTCTTCCTCTCATAATTGGAGGCGTTTGCTCCACACACCTGCTTCTCCAGTGTTGAAGGGGATCCTGTCACCCAGTCGTACGAGCCCCGGCCTGCAGGTCCGAACTTCATCCAGCTGCTCTCCAGAAGCATCCGCATGACGCTCAGGTAGATGGAGGACGGATGGAGGACGGATGGAGGACGGATGGAGGACGGATGGAGGACGGATGGAGGACGGATGTGTGTCTGTAGAGGAAATAGATGGTGATCAGTTCAAAGCATGCAGCTGTTGGTCCAGTGGTTTCAGGAGTAAACAGAACAGAGAGCCGGGAGGGGGACGGCCGCTGGGAGGGGGGG